CACATCTGGCTGTTTTATTTTGATTTTTTTTTTTCTTATGTGGGTGCTGAGGATCTGAACTTGAATCCCCAAGCAGGGGAAGCAAGCACTTTACCCACCAACCCACCTACCCAGTCCCTTCTGTTTTTGCCTTTCTGAGGCAGGCCTTGAAGTCATAGCCATCTTTCTGCCTCAGCTTCCTAAGTGCTGAAGTTATAGGTGTGAACTACCAAGTCTAGCTGTTGGTACCTTGATCTAAAGCCCAGTAAGATCCATTTTGGACATTTGGCCTCCCAAGTTAGGTGTGTGCATTTTAAGCCATTAATGTGATGGTAATTTGTTAGCCAACCATAGGAAACAAATTCACAGGTCACTTGCATCCATGCTGAAGGCCTAGTGCGGGCACTGGAGCAGAGAGAAGGCATTGCATTCCAGGGGTGGAAATGGACTCAGCGACTGAAGTGGACATCTAAGGTCGGAGGGCCAGGAGATCCCAGCACTCCACAGTCCTTTCTCCTCCCCCGAGACCTACTCCTCACTCCTGTTTCTTTCTGACAACATTTCTATCCTGTCCTAGGGATGACAGAGTACATACTTCCGTGACAGGAGCCTGAGGAGGAGCCCCTAGGCAGTGCTGCAGCCAGATGCCTTTCGTCTACAGCTGGTTGTGAGCCATGGGCGCGAGGCTTCAGGTGCTTTGTAAAAGTCTTAACAAGGCTTGTGTGCTGGGCTGGGCACCTGGTTACTGTCCCAGGAAGCAAACCCAAGTTTCTAGCCCTAGTTTTATCAATTCTGAAGCTGGCAATCATGCTTGCTTAGCTGAATCTATTTTCAGTTTTTTTATTTTTGCATATACCATAATTTTATAATTTTAGTTCATAGAAGTGTGCTGGGTGGCTAGCTCTTGGTGACTCATTTCACATTCTCATATGCCTGTTGATATATTCAGTAAGTGCCTGGGCGGACTGTCCCTTAATCACAGGTTTCGGAGTACCTTGTTTGCCTGGCCCTATCGTCATCAATCAAGGCTTCTTTTATCATCTATTTGAAGCCCTTCGGAGCAACTGGTCATGAGGTGGTGGATGACTACCCACAGCTGCCTTGGTATTTGCAAACAGCCTGCCTGGTGTCAGCTGCAAACTGGCGGGCATTTTATGCCTTTCATCTTGATAAGGTTGATGAGGGCTGGTTTTGCTTCCTGTCTTGTGAGTCACTAACAGATTTTTTTTTTTCCTTGCCGGGCTCACCCTGACTGTCTCCTGTGTCAGGCGGCAGCTTCCCCGATAATCAATGGATCTTGTGAGTCTGCAATGGCTGCCCCTCTGCAGAGACCTTCCAGGCTAAAATTCCTGTGGTTGCGGATGATGAGGGTAGCAGAGGTTTCAAATTTCCTTCCTCACCCAGATTCATAGTTTTCTTCCCAAAGCCACCAAGAAATATGGCCTTTCTCTTCCCCGAGTTCCTTGGAGTTATGAATGTTAAAATTAATAGAGGGCTACAGTTTCTTTTCCCCCTTCCCTTCCTTTTCTTCCTGCCTGCCTTCCTCCCCTCCCTCCTCTTTCTTTCTTTCTTTCTTTCTTTCTTTCTTTCTTTCTTTCTTTCTTTCTTTCTTTCTTTCTTTCTTCTTCTTTCTTCTTTCTTTCTTTCTTTCTTTCTTTCTTTCTTTCTTTCTTTCTTTCTTTCTTTCTTTCTTTCTTTCTTTCAGTAGAGTCTCACTATGTAGTTCCGGGCTGGCCCGGAGCTTGCTACACAGACCAACCTGGCCTGGAACTCACAGAGAGGTCTGCCTACCTCTGCCTCCTGAGTGCCACTGTGCCCGGCCCTTTATTTTTCTAGACAAGGCTGGTCGTGAACTTGTGATGATCTGTCTGCTTTTGCCTCCCAAATGTGCACCACTAGACCGTGCTTTTATCTGAAACATTTATAATTTTGTCTTCATAGTTTGTGCTTAATACTTCCCAAACGCAGGAAGTGCATATTTGCAAACCACCCTCCTGTGGTTTTTGTTTGTTTGTTTGATTTTTTTTTTTTTGAGATGGGATTTCTCTGTGTAGCCCTGACTATCCTGGAACTCACTCTGTAGACAAGGCTGGCCTCGAACTCACAGAGATCTGCCTGCCTCTGCCTCCCCAGTGCTGGGATTAAAGGCATGCGCCACCACCACCCGGCTCTTTCTGCATTCTTGAAATGTAAAATTCATTCTTAGTTTGAGGTTCCTTAAAACAACATCATCACAATCAACAACATCAAACCAAACAGCCTTGACAGGACCTCGGCCTTCCAGCTGTAGTTCATGGATCAAGATATTTGCTTAGCCATGCCAGAGGGGAAAAAAAACCCCAAACAAAAACCAAACAAATAAAAAAACAATGGCAGTTCCTAGTTAGTTTCCTTGGATTTCATATGGACTGCGCAGATAGTCCACTCTTTCTGTGGTTATAGTCAGTTCATTCTTGCATTCTGCCGTGTGTGTGTGTGTGTGTGTGTGTGTGTGTGTGTGTGTGTGTGCGCGCGCGCGCAGGTGCATGTGTGTGTGTTGGTCAAAGGTCAGTCTCAGATGTCACCCTCCCTGCCAAGACAGGTTTTCTCCCTGGGGTGTGGGGTTTGCGTTTACATGAGTGTTGGGGAGGACACTTCGGTCCTTGAGTTTGCACAGTGAACACGTTCTCAGATGAGCCACCCTCCCTACCCTGCATTCTGCGTTTGAAGAACCTAAGGTACTGTGCATGTCTCTGGGTTTATGCACATTCTTACACATTGCCAAAGCCCTCTTAAGGCAGAGACCCACTGCAATATAATTATACTTCCTTTTATCCCCAGTCAACTGCACTGTTTGTACAAGGTAAATATTTCCCTAGCAGTAAATAGGCAGTTAAAATTCAGAACTTTTTATGGCCTTGGATCTTATCCATTTGAATAATACCATCTAGGTGGATGGTTTGAGGGAGGCAAAGGTATGCACCTTAGACAGCATGACCTGGATTCTGAAGAATCTGGGGCCTTGGGAATGAGGGAGTGGGGTTGGTCCCCACCAGGGCCCTACCCGTCACAAATAATCTCTCTTGGAATCGCCGATCCCCCCTGACCTGCCCTGGAATTTTTACAATCCCAGCCCCTCCTCCGTGGCAGACAATGAAGGAGCAGGCGTGGTGGCTTTAACACTGTGCACACACATGGGTGTTTAAGGTGGATTTTTCTCATCCCTGTCTCTAGTTTACTGCCCCTCTAGATTCCTGTGTGGGAGGCTGGACAGGAGCTGGGCCTGAGCTCTGGTTGTGTGAGACATAAAAGAGATACTGTGATGCTTGCCGAGTGTAAGCAAAAGATAAAGGTTTTAAGATTGCAGTTTCTGCTGTGGTACTTCAAAACCAGGCACGTGGAGGTAGAAGGTTAGTTCTGATTCTTGGTCCTTTTCTGTCTTCGGAGCCAGTTCAGTCTAGATCTGGCAGGATGGCCTTTAGGGTCTCCCGGGAGTGGAATTACTGCTAATTCCAAATTAATTACTGACCGGTCACTGGCGGGCTTCAGCTGCGCCATACTGTTTGTGTGTCTCCCCCCGTGTTTTCCCTCAGGATTCTGATTTTAAAAACCTCTCCCAAATCAAAATTTAGAAGTCAGACCAAGCGATTCAAGATCGATGCGAGAGAATGACGTCTCACCATCCGCATCCGCCCAAAAGCCAAGGGGCTGGGGGGCCTGGTCCGAGTTCCAGAACACACTCGGAGCGGTGGGACAGCGTGGACTACACTGCCCCCTCGTGGTGGTGACGCGCGAGGCAGGCGTGGCCCGCCCCCGCCCACGTAGCTTCTAGGCGCTGGCTGGGCTGCTTGGCTGGCATTCTCTCCCACAGCCCCCTTGTTCAGATGCCCTCTGCCTCAGCCCTTTCTAGTTCTACAGCTCTTCTGCACACGCCTCCTCTCCTATCCCTACTCTTTTTTTTTTTTTTTTTGGTTTTTCGAGATCTCTGTGTAGCTTTGCGCCTTTTCCTGGAACTCACTTGGTAGCCCAGGCTGGCCTCGAACTCACAGAGATCCGCCTGGCTCTGCCTCCCGAGTGCTGGGATTAAAGGCGTGCGCCACCACCGCCCGGCTTATCCCTACTTTTTACTTAACTTCTTCGGAGGGTGTAGCCTGGCTTCGGATGGGGGCTCACTGATATTAGGACAAATTCTAAACCAAACATCTTTTTGGGCAGCTGATATTATGTGTGGCCTGTACAAAGGTCCTGAGGTGGGGCTTGGCTTTTGGGAACTAAGGGCTGGGGAGAGGGGATGTATGAGCAGAGGGAGGCAAGGCCCCGGCCTTGTGCTGAACTTGAACATTTATGGTCAGTGTGCCGTCTGCTGTGAAGGACGGAGTGTGTGTGTGGGTGCTGCTCAGACTTTACATGTGACTAAGCTCCATGTGGCAGCAGGTGTGTGGTCCTTGAATTGCTTAGCAGTAAGTCAGCTGGGAACACGTAAAGGGGCCTCTGGGTTTGTTGTAGCGAGGGATGATGGGGTGGCCTGTGGATGTGGAGGGAGTAAATGACGCCAGAGGTCTCCTCAGCTGATTGGACGAGGAAGGGCTAAGGGCTGCCCATCTGGCGCCTGGCTGGAAACAGTATCGCCCAGGGGATGGAGTTAGAATCCAGTAACATTTTGGACCAGACTTGGGGAGGGAGGGGTGATGTCACAGGTCTGTGGGGTAAGCTGGGTTAGAGCTTTGACAAGATGATGGGGACCTACCTAGAAGGCTTTGCCCTCTACTGACAGCCAATAACGAAAGCCTAGAGGAAGGAGGCCTTCTGGGATTTCTCGTGTGGCCCCAGAGCAGGGACTCAGTTGCCCTCCCTGAGTTCTGGTTCACTCCATTCATTTTAGGACCTGGCTCCAGCAGGTGGATAGAAAGACCAGTGAACACAGGCAAGTGAGATGCTTGCAGTTTATTGCGGAGAGGGAGGCAGGGCTGGTGTGGGAGGTCAAGGGGCACAGGGTAACGGCAGGGCTCTTAGCAGGGGATGTCTTCGAAGTCTGGTGTGCCTTAGAAGCTTGGGTCTTGATTACACAGATTGCTTGTTAGGATTATCTCCTAGAAAAAAGAAACAAGTCCCCCACATGATGGTGAGTGAACCTCAGAAGTAGATGGAGCACACAGACTTAACAGAGGCAAAAGCTACGGTACGTTCTGCGAGGAACTCGGGGTGGACGGCCTCAGAGGGCTTTCTTAAAGGCCTTAATAAAAAAAAAAAAAAAGGCAAAATGACTTAGCTGCAAATGCTCCTGCCAACGAATGGAACCTGAGCACCTGGGTTTGATCTACAGGACCCACACGGGGGAAGGAGAGAACTAATTCCTTAAAGATTGTCCTCTGACCTTCACATGTGTGACACATACATACACACTTACACTAAATAAATAAAATTCTCGGGGGGAAAAAATCTGTGGAGCTGGGTGTGCTGGTGCAAGCTTGTATTTCCAGCTACCCAGGAGGCTGAGGTAGGAAGAACATTTGATCCCAGGAGTTTGAGGACAGTGAGGGTAGCTCAGAGAGACAACCCCCCCCCCCCCAGCAAAAAACAAGCACACACACACACACACACACACACACTGGAGAAGAAGGCAAGGGGCATGGGCATAACAAGTCCATCCATCAGCATTGTGACCCCCACAATGGTATGACACTGTAGTTGGGGAACCACTTAGAAGCAACGTAAGTGACGGATGTCGCCTACCGAGAGCTTCACGATGTTCACTCTGGTCTTCTCGGGGAGGGTGTCCACCAGCTTCTTCAGCTGCACCCCCGAATTTTGCAGCTCTGAGCCAGGGTTGTAAAACTTCAGGGCTGCCTCATAAGTGGACTCGGAGCCCAGGAAGAGGTACTCCAGGACTTGAAAAAATCCTGGGCAGGTGTCTGAAGAAGCTGGAGTGAGTGCAAAAGAGAGCACATGGATCCAGCCTCTTCTCTAGAAGCTGGCCAGTGCCCCGCTGGACCAACCAGTCTGGTCAGCAGGAGATAGCAGTCTTTGGGTGATGGAGTAGGACTGTAAGATCTGGTGAGGCTCCAAGCATGGAAGTCTGGCACCATGTGAGCACTTCTAGGTTACAGCCAGCTTTTGGCTTTCCTGAGCTGCCTTTGGATTCCTGGCTTGGGTTGGCCATTGTTCCTGTCATCATTTTAGACGGAGTGAGTAAGAAGCTGCCAGTCTGGCTTTTTTTCTGCAGCGTGGGGACTGGGAGGAGACCTCTGGGAGCCTTGCTTTCTGCCAGAGTGCTCCCCACCCAAGGCTAGTGGTGGTCTGTTACCGAGGGCATGCGACACAGCCCTTATACCGGTCCAGCATGGTCCCCAAACCTGGCCCGGAAGATGAATGCACACATGCATTCTAGTCTGGTGGCACAGTTGGTCTGCAGAGCAACCACCCATCTCACGTGTTCCCCGCAGCAGCTGTGCTGTCTGGATGATGCGTCTGCTTGGGTGCCTACTCCCGGGAAGATGATTTCCTACCCTGTTTGCCTCCATCTTCTAACCTAGCCTCCCATTTCCTGCCCTGGAATTCTCAGCATTGTGTGCAAATTTGGCCGCACTGCTCTGACTCAGGACCCTACTCCTGATCCAAATAGCCACTCCGGCTGGGTATGACAACCCGACATTTGTTATACAACTCACAATACTGGGGAGGCTGAGGCAGGATGGCCATGAATTCGGGCCAAAATGAGACCCTGTCTCAAAACCAAAACAATGGTCACTCCAACTTAAACTCTCCATAATGTCACCAGGCAGGGTGTCTCGTCTTCCGGTGGCTCAGTTTCTAATCTGGAAAATGGGAGCAATATCTGTCCTTCCTTGGGTTGTTATGAAAGTGAAAGGGATAGTGTGTGAAGTGGCTGAGGACAGTGACTAGCACATTGTAAGTAACATTAACTAGTTTTATTGTCAGAGTTTTAATATGTGACTACATTGATATGCAAATGTCCTGCCAGTCCACCCCTTCACATATTTTAGCCCTGTCTTGCTGAGGACCCACCTCTGTGCACATCACTAATAATAATAATTAATAAACATTTAAATCAAAATGATGTCATTTCCCCTGAAAACAAATAAAAGTATTTGATAAGAACGGCCGTTCTCACTTCCCCACGATTTGGGGGGGTCTAAATCCCCTTGGTCATAAAACCTGTATCCACAGGCATTAGGAACTTTTCCAAGTACATTAATTGGGGTTTGTTTTTAGAAAAATAATACAGCATTATCAGAGGGGAGTGGGAGAAGCTGATGGAGAGAGAAGATTTCCCAACCCCATTCCTGAAGCACAAAATGACTGGAGGGAGCTAGATTGACTTCCCTCCCTCCCTCCCTCCCTCCCTCCCTCCCTCTCTCATTTCTCATTCCTTTCTTCATCGTGATAGCAACAACTCTTCAGAGATTTCTAATCCTTTTTCCAGAGGACAGAATGTTTAGAAAGCTCCACCCGGGATTGGCAGTTTCCCAAAGGGAAGATTTCTTTCTGGAATATTCCCTTCCTCCCAGAACAAGAGACTTTGCCTTGGGTTTGAGGGCAAGAGTCTCTGCACTTCCCCTTCCAGATGGACTGCCAGAGTTGGGTGGGGATGCCCCCTAACCTGGAGGCTGTTTCAAGAGCTCTTGACATCTCCAGCCAGTCCTAGTCTGGGCTCCAAAGGGCTCCTCATCCCTACTCCATTTTGGGGCAGATAGACTGGTCTAGATGGGCATTCCCCATCTCCCGCCCAGGCTTCCCTGGTCCCTGGAGTGCAGGAGTTCAGGATTTGGAAGGTGATTCTCGGCTGTTAACAGCTCAATGCTTTCCCCAAGATCACAAAATAGTGTTGGTCATCAGACTCAGCCTTTCTGAGAGTCAGCATATCCTGGCCCTCCAGGCCGTTACTGAGGGACTGGCCACTTCCTTCTGCCCTTGGGAAAGGGACCCTGGGCACTTACCTGAGCTGCAGCAGACAGACAGCATGACAAGAACGATTGTGATGGCGAGCTTCATGGTGGAGTCCACAGGCTCTGATGGTCTCTGGATGTGGGGTGGAATTGTAGTGTGTGTGAATGTGTGGGAGCATCAGGTGGCTTTTTATATGTTCCAGGAAGCATACAAGAGGTAGGGGGCAGGAATTGGGTACCACTTGGGATATTTCATTATTTACTTTGTTATCTTCTCTGTGGAATAAGTAAATAATCTATTTTCTTAAACACAGTTTCTGTTCCCATTGAAACTGAGCTCACACAACAGGCCACTTGTGGGGTGTGCAGCCAGTGTGGGGAACCCAAGTCAGAGGTCATGGGAATCTGGACACCTGTGTCCTCTTTTCGATGTCAAACACTGGGCACTCCAGGTTACAGGAAGCAACTGTAGATTTGCCAATCTTGGTGAACCAGAGGCTGGAGGCCCTTCATGAATCACAGGGAAGGGCAAAGACCCAGGACTCTAAAATGTCACTGGGGTCCTTCTACTGCCTCCGTCCAAGGAAAGTGGCTAGACTCCAAGCCACAAAGGTCGCTTGATTCTTGGGCATCATTGGTCAGGTTAGATCCTGAATCCAGCCGAAGTGGACAAATGGAGACTTTTCCATGGTATACATCGGAGACCCAGGCCCCAGATCAGGTGTGGTCTCTTCCTACCCAGAGCAGCCCTTGAGTCCTGTCCTTCTGATGGCCAGTTGAGGGGGCCTTCAGTCTTTATCTGACTTGACCTCTTCCTGGCCTTTCCCCTATAGCCTGCTCCCTCCTGCTCCATTCTCTCCCAGGCCCTCCCACACTCTGCACTTCCTGTTTTCCTTCCTCAGCCATTCTCTCTTACTCTTTCTTGATGTTGACAGTTCTCAAGTGTTAGAGGTTCCCAGGCTTTAGCCTTAGCCTCTTTGCTTCCCATGGCCACGCTCAGTGTTTACTCTGTTACTTCTCCAGTGCTCTTGTGTCTTAGCATGTAACCTAGCTTGGTTGAAATCAATGCCTAGTCTCTCTGCTTCCCAGCCTCCCCTCCCCGGCCATTCTCCATTTCCACAAATCCTATTCAGACTTCTAGATTGTCTCAAATGTTCATCCATCCACCCAGTCAATAGATGTCCAGAACCTACTATGGTGTAGTGGGACTGGGACTTGGGGGAAGACCTGGAGAGGCATTTAAAGGGCCCCCTCATGAACTTCCTGCCTAGTGGCTGTGAGGAGTGTGGTGAGCTGAGAGCCTTCAGCTTTCACTACCTGCAGGGTCTGCCCCTGCTACAGAGCGCTGCCTTGCTTAAGGTCCCACCCTCCCCAGGGCTGTTTGCATGTAATGATACAGAAGAAGGGGATTTAAAGTTGTGGGCATTTTTGGTTTGCCTTTTTCCCAATGGCCCTGGGCCATTAGCATGCATTTACCCCTTGTTCTTGAACTGTCCTGTCCATTAGTTCTGTTCTAACTGTAGGCTTGGCTCACTTCTGGGTCTCTGGCCTGACCCTAGCACAGAGACTGATGTAGCCATCACTGCAGAAAGAGTGCTTAAGCTGTTCCTCCACAGAACAGTGTTGTAAAGAGCCTTTCTACCTCTGTTTTTGAGTCCTAGAGTGAGGTTGTCTTTGCACATTTTCCCACCTCCAAATCCCAAGCCAGCTGTTAAATAGGGAAGCCTTCCTGGGCCTGTGACACAGCCACTTAGTGATACAGCCCAGGGGCTGTGTGCAGAACGCTTTAGATGTCATGGAGACAAGAGTCTTTAAAATGAATGTACTGAGCTGGGGCGATGGCTAGTGGACACAGTGTCTCCTGTGCATGCGTGAGGAACCGAGTTTGGCTCTCCAGCATCTAGGAAAAACCTGGGTGTGCCTGGAATCCCAGCCCTGGGGAGGTGGAGACAAGGGGAGCCTGGGAGCTTACTGATGAGCCCATCTAGCTAAATGGGGGCCAGATTCAGATTCAGTGAGAGGCCCAGTCTGAAAAACGAGATGGAGGGTGACAGAGGAGGACACCTGATGCCACCTCTGGCTGCCACGACACACAAACAAGTCGTATTCACACACACACACACACACACACACACACACACACACACACACACACTCATGAAAGACCATGGTTTGCACTGTCTGAGGTCATCTGTGCGCAGACCCTCCTACAGTACTTAACTTGTAGGGCCTTCGGGAGGGTCTGGATCCTGTGTTAGTTTCTGCCACTTGTCTCCATGACTGGGTCTCTAACTCAGGTCATGAAAAGGCAGTGCTGTTCCTGGGTGGTGGCTTTGCTCAGATTCAGGGGGCACAGGCTGGAAGTCTGCCTTGAGGCTGTGGTCCCCAGATTGCTACCACCAAGAGTACCAAACAGGCTTTTCCATCCTGGCCCTGGGGAGAGCCCTGCTTGGCGGCAGTGGGCCTTTCTCCTGCCCTGGGATCTGTGAAACTCCTTCTTCTCTGAACCTCTGCAGGGGTGTGTCATTCAAGGTTCTGAGAGCTAAGCTTCTAAAATTCCAGCACCGGCTCCTCACACCCCTAAAATACCCCCACCCCTACTTTGACTTCCAAGCTGGAGCCCTAAGCCTGCTGAGCACCTGGGGGAGGGCTAGGGGCTGCCATCTCTGACTGCACTGGGGACAGATGTACTGCACAAAGACAAATCCCTTGGGAGAGAGAAGTCACTAGGTTACTAGCTCCGTGAAGGTGGCATTGAATTGGCACATCTCCTACTTACTGGTCTCGTTACCCTCCTCACTTCCTGCAGTGACTGTGACTGGCTTTGGAGAGTCCTGGTTCCTAGATTCATGGAGAGCTTTGAGATCTGGGCTAGGAGTCTTCTGGAGCGATATAAATACTTTGGGCCTGATTTCAGAAAAGGTCAGGAGGAGCCTCATCCACAGCCTGACAGGACTGATGGGCCTGGACACTTCATCTAGGTATCTGGATTCTTAAGTCTCTAGGTCACTGGCCCCTCTCCCACACCATGCAGTGTGTGTGTGTGGATAACATGTTAACATGTGGGCACAGGTTCTTGGGCCATGTTCAGGGTCCACTAGTGAGTCCCTTCTTTGTTCTCACATGAATTTAGTGGCAGTGGCAGGAGGGAGGGGTGAAGCCAACAGTACCTTCCACCAGGTCCTGCCAGGAGAGGTTGCCTAAGACCAGATGTTTATCCTCTGGCTTTAGGGCTTAGCCTATCCCCAACAGCAGAAGCTGGAGAACAAGTCCCAGCATGGCCCAGAAAGCAGGTTGGAGGCCCTAGGTGGGCCATTCTGAGCCTGGTGATCTGGCTGGGCCACAGAAGGACTGCTCAGACCACAGGCTGGGGTCGGCTCATGAGGTCAACTGGGAGCTGTAGAGACCAGCCTCTGCCTCCTCCCCCAGTGGCTAGCTCTGTGATTCTCGGGAAATGGCTGTAAAACAGCAGATTTCCCTTCATGAGTTTGATTCATTTTCTTCTGCCCCAAGGCTGACCCCTGCATTGATCTAGAACCCTCCTAGGAAGGGCTTGGCACCTTCTGAGCATTTGGTTGGTTTGCTTAGCAGTGATGATGTCTAGATCCTTTGAGCTTTTAGAGGACCTAAAATAATGGCTATGTATCCATCTCACTGACTCTAAAATGCCGAAGGAGATCTAAATATAATCATGAATATTTATCTAGGTGACAGAATTCAAGTGGTTAGCCAAAGCTCGGTTCAGTTGTGACACAGTTGCATGGAGATGTGGAGCAGTTTAAAGTGCAGAGTTTCTAGCTGCAACCAGAGTGAACCTGGTGCAATCTCCTTCAAAAAGCTTATAGGCCCCTTACACTCACTGTGAGGACCGTGCATTTCCTTTTTGCTTGTTTAATTTTTTCTGACTCTTTACTTACCTTTACGGTGTGTGCACATGCTGCAGGGCCCACATGCAGAGGGCAGAAGACAGCTTTGTGGAGTTGGTTCTCTCCTTCCACCTTTCTGTGGTCCCAGGAATTAAACTCAGGTTGTCAGGCATGTATAGCAAGTCCCTTTATCTGCTGAGTCTCTTGATTATCTCACTATTTATCTGTTTTTTTAAGACACGGTCTCATGCAGCCCAAGTTGGCCTGGAACTTGCTGTATAACTGAGGCTGGCCTTGAACTTCTGATCTTGCTTTTCCCATTTAATGTTATGTTTTCTGAAGTGTGTGTGTGTGTGTGTGTGTGTGTGTGTGTGTGTGTGTGTGTGCAGGTGCACTAGCTTATGTGGGCATGTTTAGAGATCAGAGATTGACATCTACTCCCTTCTGCTGTCTCTCTCCAACTTGGTTTTTGAGACAGTGTCTCTATGAAGCCCTGGTTGGCCTGGAACTCAATATGCAGACCAGGCTGTCTTTGAACTTACAGGGATCCACCTACTGAGTGCTCAGATTAAAGGTGTGTGGTACCATACCAGGCTACACTTTACATTTTGAGACAGGGTCTCTCACTGAACCTGGAGCTCATCATTTAGTCTAGACTGGCTGGATCATGAGTCCCATGGGTCCCCTTGTTTCCTCCTGCCCAACGCTTAGGTTCCTGATGTGTACCGATATGCCTGGCTTTACTCTGCGGAACTGAATTCAGTTCTGTATGATTGATTGCACAGCGAGCATTTTACCCACTGAAATCTTGCTACTTTTTTTTTTTTTTTTGGTTTTTCGAGACAGGGTTTCTCTGTGTAGCTTTGCGCCTTTCCTGGTACTCGCTTTGGAGACCAGGCTGGCCTCGAACTCACAGAGATCCGCCTGGCTCTGCCTCCCGAGTGCTGGGATTAAAGGCGTGCGCCACCACCGCCCGGCTTGAAATCTTGCTACTTTTAAACACATTTGATTTTCTTTCATGCTGTAGAATATCAGGTTTCGTGGCTCTGCTATGATTTAATTTGCCAGTACTTTGTTGGTGGACACTAGTGTCTAGTTTTTACTGCTCTAGCAAGCCACACTATGTTTACTTTCTGCCCTGTGGACTCCTTCTGCAGGGGACATGCCTGGGTTTAGACAGACCCTTGTTGGTGTTGGCTCTCTCAAGCCTGGAAGCCCATCTATTCTAACTGCAAAATGG